ATTTTCTCTTTTTAATGTTCTTTTCTCTCTCCCTCTCTCTCTTTCTTCTTCTCCTCCTTTTTCTATCCTATATTCAAACAACTTTCACATGTGTTTAATCAAATGTGAACTTGTAAATGTGGATGTCCTTTTGTAAATTTAATACTTGTATACGCTATCTATAATAGATACTTGAAGGAAGATATATTTGTGAACATACTTTTGTATATACTTGTTTGATATAAATGTGAAAATTAGAATAAAATTAAAAAAAAATGAAATAAAATAAAATTAAAAAGGGGAAGACATTTCTACAAACAGAACAAATTTGTAAAGCAGAGCTTTAAATACAGATCCCAGGCAATTCGAGAGAGAGGTAGGATCAGTAAACCATAGGAGGAGTTATTATCCTCGGTAGACTGCTCAGGATTTTCTTATTTTAGCGTTAAACAAACAAGCAACTAATAGCTTATAATTTTTATCAATCACTTCATCTTTTAAAAGAATTTAAATGAATGAAAAAGGTGAAGATAACGAACAGCGATCAGTCTAAAAATAATCTACCACAAATACACAAATCTGTCAGCGGGACATAAACATTGACCCCAGAGGTCAGATCATGTACTTAGGAGAACTGAGCATTCCCTGTTGACTGATTTCATCAGCTGTGAGCCCTATGGTATGAAACAGCGTAGCCAATTTAAAACCCAATGATAGGATATATTTTCTAACAGGGTCGTTCTAGTAACCATATAGTTAAGGTAGTCCGATCCTCAGGTTTATAAAATTAGCGGTTAAGTAATCAAAAAAGTATCTCTGAATCCACAAAGGTATGTAAATTTATCCACAGTATTTCTTTAAAGTAAAAAATTAAAGTTAATCATATTATAAAGAGAAAATTGTCAAAACTTATAATAATTTTTTTTCTATATTTATATTATATTTTTAAAATATTTTTGCAGAAAAAGTGAATTGGAATATCAGCAATGCATTTTCTAATTGCAAATTAGAACCTAAAATATATTTTAGGTTCAAAAACGATAGGTATTCAGGCATTCAGAGAAATTGTCATGATTTTTATTCTTATTTGGTATTTTTGTCTTCTTTTTCCGCCATGTTTTCTATAATACATAGTGTAGAAGGTTTTTGCTATCATTGCAAGACACCACAGATCATTTCTCATTTCATATCACGCTAATAAGCATTGATATCTAAGGTTGGATTCAAGAAAATCTTATTTCTCTAAAACTGTACGAATTTTTTTCCTCTTATAGGGTACAAATGTCAACTTTTATAAGACCTTTTCTAAGACTCCTAAAACCCTTGAATCTTATAAAGATGAATAAAATGAAAATTGTTGCATGAAAAAATTTCCTTTTCAAGTTTCATTTTGATGTATTTCAAATTTAACATTAATTTATGGAGATATCCTTCCTGGCTGAGGATCGGATATCCTTAAATGGAGTTGTTGAAATCCTGCTAACATCAAATTATTCATAGGTAGCCTATCTCTGCTTTTTTTAATGATTGTACTCAGAGTATGGTCTTGAATATGAAAAAAAATAATACTACTATTTGATTGTTATCGTTCCATACGAGAATTTTTCACTCATATACACACGTCGCCGTATGGCGGCGAAAGGCTTTAAATTTAGACTTGTTCTTAGCACTCATAGCCATTTTTCACTGAGGCTGCGTTACAATCGCAACTTCTCGGGCCTTTCCGACTTGCGGAAAAAACGACCTCGAATTTATTAGGAAGACGCCATGACAACCCCTTTTCACGATTATTGAAATATAAATGCACGGAGACCTTTCATCTGTGGAATATGGAGTTTAACTTTATTCAATATAATGATATTACCTAAAATATACTAAAGAAGGGACTTTCAACTCCGTCTATCCTATAGTTGAATAAACATGAAATGTATAAATTTTTAACACTCGGTGATGTAAATACATTCGAGGATGTTTTTCCGACCTCTGACCTCAGAAAGATCTGAGATGATGCAATTGGGTGCGTTATCGTGCTAACGCCTACCATTGATCAGGACCTCGGTTTTGAGGTTTTATATATAAGATTCGTGACTTTCGCTTACATTGCCGAGCGCGTAGCAAAAGGCCAGCCACTGCCTATGTTGACGCATGGCGGTGCGGCAAACGAGAAATAAATCCGGAACTCCGATTCACGTAAAGCGAGTGTCCTCCCACTGCAATCATGTGATAGATATAATAAAATCTAAAATAAGAAATGAAGTCCTTTAATTGAGGTATTTAAAGTTAGAGGGTTATTTTCGCCCCATGTTATTTTCGCCCTTTTGAACTTGTGAACAATTGTGCCCCATTTTAAATTCGCCTAGTCATAATTCTGTTTAAGAAATTATGAGGTGTAATTTAAATTCGCCCCGTTTTAAATTCGCCCAATCAAGGAGAGAGCGAAAGGGGCGAAAATTTCCGTGTATACAGTATACAAAACAAAAACAAAGGATTTCATCACTAAAAATTTAATTGCGCTTTTTTCTAATTATTTTTTCAATAATTCATTTTTTTCTGTTTTTCCTTACTGTCCGCTTATCTTTCAGAAACTGATGTTGGTAACTCTGGAATTGTTGGAGAGGTCCTTGTAGATTGTAACATATATGAATCGGTTATAACCCGTATTTATCTACAAAAAATATATGTGTTAAACTTACAAAGATGCTTTCTAGCACATTGCTTTATAAGACATTTTAAATTTAAAAGGAAATACTATTTTTCCAAAAACAGTATTGCACACTCAAAATCGAATCTCTTCCTATATAAGCCCTCATTTCATTAAAAAAATAATTAGGAAGGAAACAAATTATATGCAAGTATCTGGGAAGAAAAGGTACTGAAAAAAACAAAAGGAACAGACTAATCTGTATACAATAGAACAGAGAGGCTCGTGGAGAGGAAACTCATGTTTATCCCTTGTGTTACCAATAGAAGATTATTAACAAACACTAAATATTATTGGTTAAACCGAACAAATTTATGCTGCGTTACTTTTGCCAAAATTGATTGAGTAATCTATTAGAAATTAACTTTTTCAAGACCTTTATAAGGTAGTTGGTTCCGGCCACTATTTGCATTCGATAACTGTACGCTTTTAAAGAGGGTGTAACTGGTCCACTCTGGTAGTATACGAGGGGTAAAAGTCTGTAAATGTCTCCATAGTGCTGAAGTGTATTAAACAGTTAATATACAATAATACATATGCATAATATATTGAATGATTCAATAATATTTTTTGAAGAAAAAAAAGTTTATTTAGTTTAAAATTTTGATTCATATTTGTTAATATGTCATACAATTGAATAGTATGAGAATTTGAATACTAGTATAAAATACGAGAATGTTACGCAAAATATTCTACTAAAATGTTACATTTAAACATTTATCCAAGGTCAGAACATGGTTTAAAGGCAAACAATTTACCTTGTTAACCAATGCCTGTATATTTGGGTTAGCTGGAACCTCGGGACCATAGCCACCATAGACTGCAGAGTCTGCAAAACCTGCTAAAGAAAGGGACACAAAGAGGCAAACCTTGACGGACACCATGATTGGTCTAAGTGATATACTGACCAATATAATTAATAATGCCCGAATGTACCTGTAATTTGTAACAGGTGCTCTTAATTTCTCTGTCAAATTATATTGAAGATTATTAATTTGTGATCTGAACTTTTGTGATAGCCTAAGGTTGTTTTGCTTTATCTAATGTTTCAAATGAGATTACCTTAGGAGAAGATTTATGTTAATTTCTATGTATAACAATACCGTAAATCAGAAAGCATACAACTGAGTTCTGTGCATAGTAAGTTGCATAAAAATGGAATTAAAAAACCATAATTATAATATTTTGAATAAGTTTTTATTGGCACTGTTGCTTAAAAGAGATGTAAATGTGCTTGAAAGATAAAGAAAAATTAAAATTGGGCATTATTTATAAGCAAGCTTTAATTATAACTACTACTATACTTTTTATTTTAATCTACAAATAAAATTACAATGAGAGGCATTGAAATCTTATTTTGATATCTTATTTTAAATAAAACGAACACTGTTTAAACCCCAGGTTATACATTGTAACTTATACAGTGTTTGCTGAATTTATTTACCTTCACAACCCTGTGTCAGTACAGAGAAAACTGTTATTTTTTTCTCTGAATTTAGATAACCTTTTTTCTGTGCTTGAAACTAACATTTTATTTCTAAATTTTAAATATTGAATTTCCATACAAAAGGTATACAGGAAATTGTTTCATCCATGTGAAAACTTTCTTTTAAAAAGTAAAAAAGAAGAATTCTACCAAAAAATTGAGTAGATGCATGATCGAATACCAATACCCATTATACGTGCCTATCTTTGGATGGTGTCTTTCTTATTTTTATAAACTAATATGGATTTATCTCAGATACGTACATGTGTACATCTTTATCCCTCGGATGTCTCTCTTCGGATTTTTTACATGCCACGGTTGTGACATCACAACGGGTTTTGCTTGTGTTTTTTTTTTTAATTTCTTAGATAAAAATCATATCCGGTCACAAATCATGGAAGATCTTAAATTTATCTTCATGCTATAAATCACATTTTTTTCTTTTTTTGCGATTTCTATCATAAGTATTTTTGCTTTGTTTTTTATAACTTAAAAAGTTTTTTAAAACAGGTCAGAAAAATAAGGTTTTAATAATCAGTCTTAGGGAGTTCTTGACAGACATGTACGTACATGAAATAAGGATCAAAGAATATTTTTTTACAAAAGTTAGCTAATTCATGTGGACTAAATGTGCATTTATCCTCAATATGCAACATTTTGAAACCAGATAATTAAACCAGCTGTCTGATTTAAAACCAGCCCCTTCTCCTTTCTCTCGTCAGGCGAGTGAAAGGAGAAGGGGGCTGGTTTTTATCAGACGATTAAACCAGATAAATGTTATAAATAGGGATAGGTTGTTATATCAATCTCATTGCCGTTAACAAATCATACACGATGAACCGACTGCATATATTGTCTTTGAGCCTCGTTTTGGCTATCTTCTCTCAGACTATTTATGTCACAAGCGGTTTTAGAACAGGGGGTCTTGGAGAACAGCAATTTGCAACACCAGGGGTGCAGGCCTTGGTACAAGCGGTAAGTTAAAATCAACACAGAAGTTGTTACTTTTCGAATAATTTACAAATAAATTATTAGTTTCATTATTTTTCATTAAATTTGGTGAAGTTATGAAATTTTTGGACTTATATATTGTCTTTTAAAAGTTTACCAGAATTTTCTTTGATTTTCTTCCTTTGAATACAACTTACAGACTGTGATGACATAAACTTGGAGATCCGATATAATCCTTATTTCAAGCTGAAACTTATTTACCACAAAGCTGATAAGCAATTCTAAAACTTATCTAAAATACAGTCAAATTTTAGATAGATTACTGCATGTAAAAGAAAAAAAATTGTGTGAATTTATTTGACTATCTGCTAAAATTTTAGAAAATATGAAAAATACGTCTGAGAATGGATTCTTTTCAGAATCGTAACGCTATTATTCGAAAGCTCCCTGAGGATATACTGCAACCAATTGGACAAATGACAGCTGTGGTATTTAGAGAACAGCTGGTTGCAGGGACTAACTACTTCATTAAGGTACTAATTGTAAACAGAACAAAAATCTTTGGAAAAAATCAGAAAATAACGATACTTCCGAACCCTTGCAAGTCATTGTTGTCACAATAAAATTAAACACAATTACTCCTAATTCAAATTCTACTGACAAATGGTAGAAATTTAAAAATTGCTCGTTTCTAGCAATACCGAAGTGCACGTCGAGTATTTCCATTAAGATTGACAATCATTCTTCTTAATCTGCTTTAATATTTTTATGAACAATAAATATTTTCTAAAAAATTGATTTATTATATATTTCCCAGCCATTCATCATAATATTAAAACTCTCTTTTAATCAGGTAAAACTTGGAGGAAGAGGTCGTCCCCAGTACATACACGTGAGAATCTATGCAAACCTGAAAAACAAGAGCAGAGTGGATGGGGTCAAATTTGTCAACCAATACGACCCCATTGAATTCTTCTAGAGATTGAAAAAGGTTTATAATAGAAAGTATTTAGTTGAAATAAATTATTGTAAAAATATGAGAGACTGTGTTTTATCTGAAGGCAAGTTACAATAGCCCCACATTTAGTTGAAGTTCGTAGAAAATTTTTAAAAAAATATTAGAGAGAAAAAAAAAAAAAAGAGGAAATTATGACTTTTCAAGATGTAGAGACAAACTTCGAATATTGCCAAGGGTTGGTTAATTATACCATGCAAATATTGTGAATTTTTAAAAATATTCTTTGTTCATATGATTATACGAAATCAACAGTTCATTAACATCATCAAAATTGTTACATAGAATATTTAAGAAATTAGAAAGCATTCCTCGTGTTTCATTGGGTTATGACATGAGGTAAGTCACGTGATCAATTTCTATATCGCCCGAAAGGCATTATAGAAGATTTGATCCCGTATCGACTACACGTCATATCCCAATTAAACTATTTTATTTTATTTTACTCATATTCTTTTAACAAGGAAAAAATAGGTAATATGTAGATTGCGATATGGAAAATCGAGGTTACATACCTAGGACGACATGTTACAGCACAATCGGAACTTACAAATGGCTCTCCTTACAAAAGGAAGTCTGATCATGTGACCAACTGCATGTTATTCAAAATTGTGTGTCAATTTAATGAGTATTGTCAAATAAGGAAAAACATCGGTAGATGTAAATATTAAAGGATAACATCTTTTATTGTTAGCATTATGCTTCATCTTGGAATTTTCAATCTTTAGTTTCCATACTACATTCTTATCTGATAACAATTGTTTGCTTTTTTTCATCACGAGGCAGACAAATAATTGGCTATCACGTTTTTAGACTTGTCAAAAATGTCAATTAATTAACACAACATGATGCAAAGATTATGCACCATGTTCCTAGATCTAAGTTTATGTAATATCAATAGATTAAATGAATAATTAATAATAAAAGAAGTCTATTATTTTCCATCTTCTAAGCATTATGAAAACTGACAGGTAAGAAATTAAATATTTTCCAACGTATTTTTTTCCCCCTAAATTCACATAAAATTTGAGGGTTTGGTGATACAGTGACAAAGTGTGAGTTTTCACAGAATTTAAATAATATACAATTAATCGATCTTGAATGAAAATGACATCCATTTCTAGAATATAAAGAAATCGTGTTTTCTTTTGGTTCTTAGATAAACAACTTTGTATCGTTTTCTATCTAATTCTAAACAAACTTTTGGGCATAATTTTGAGAAAAATCGATTACTAAGTATTTCAACATCTTATTTTAGCACCGAAACGTAAAACAAGAAAAGATGCAGTGATAATTATACTTACAGTAATTTTTACTTCATGTATATTGAATGAATTAAAGACCAGTTAAAATTGTTATGATACATTTATAAAACTTGTTAACGTGTAATCATCACCTTCCAAATAAAAAAGCTATCCACAGAACTTAATACACAAACAAAATTGGCAAAAAGTGAATTTTACATAAAACGAAGGATGAGTTTTGTTATTTAATTCAATGCCGTTCATTTTGAAGAAAAAAAATGTAGATATAAATTAATTAGCAAAATAAGAAAGTTTTTTTTTAATTTAAAGAAATTATTTCATCCTAGAATTAAGTACTTTCAGAGGAAGTATCAAAATAAGAATCAATGCAAGTACATTCATTGTCTTCCTATTATTATGCGCCCGGATCGATAGATCCGAGGTATATATTGTTTTTGTCCTGTCTGTTTGTCTGTTTGTCTGTCTGTTGTCAACTTTAACCTTCGCCATAACTTTTGAACCATGAAAGATAGAGACTTCATATTTGGTATGCTTACTCCACTAATTAAGTTCTTTCAAAAGACACCATGATTGGTGACCTTTTGACCTTGACTATGACATATTTGCTAAAAATAGCTTTCTTGAACTTTCGCCATAACTTTTGAACCACAAGAGATAGAGATTTTATATTTGGTATGCATACTCCTCTTTTTAAGTTCTTTAAATGACCTCAAGGTCAATGACCTTGTGACCTTGAATGTGACCTATATGCTTAAAAAAGCTTTTTCGAACTTTCGCCACAACTTTTGAATCTACGCAGATAGAGGCTTCATATTTGGTTTGCATACTTCACTAATCAGGTTCTTTCAAACGACACCAAGGTCAATGATCTTGTGACCTTGACTATGACCTATTTGCTAAAAATTCTTTTTCGAACTTTGTTGCCGCCGGACGCATAGTGTCTCACAAACACATCTTGTATGTTATGAAATAAAATGACTAAATTAGCATATCTCTAAAATTTGTCTAAAACTAAAAATGCCTTTTGGATAGACAGAATGAGATATAGACTTGAGGAAAAAGATGCTTTTCCAGCTTTCTTAACGTTGTTGGAGGCAATAATAAAAAATAATATCACATGTCGACTCAAAATGTTTCAGTGAACTGTTTCATATCTGGCAAACTTATTTTTGTATTCATATGAAACAGAATTCATTCAAAAACGTCAACATGAAAAGAAATTCTCTTGCTGTGTTCTTCAGTTGAATTTTCATTTCCATACTTGTGTTGATTTGAACTTTGAGATTAGGAAAACACATACAATAGAGTTTGACGAGTCTCTTTCCTAGTTGGATATTTATCTATCATCAGTTGAATGCTGACTGACGTTTCATACAAATTGTTAGGCCATTATGTACACTCTGAACTATCTTCGGATTTTTCCCATTTTCCGGATCATAAGAAGCACACGACGGGTCGACAGTGGATGCTTACTCTTCCCTGGCACCTGATCACTTCTCTTTAAAGGTCGGTATTGGCTCTGCTCCTGATGTGTGTTGTTTTAATGGATTTTGAACTTCATTACTGTTCGTTATCTCCATATTTTATGGACATAAATAACCATTAAAGGAACACGAACATTACAGCACTGTTTATGGGTCATTTTGATCTGTCTTTAACATATATGATAAACAGGTTTTCCCGATAGGCAACAAAGTAATAACCTTTTAAATAGTTATGCTCAAAAGCTATTGCCTGAAGTCCTTGGGCTGCCCAAGTCACCCTGATGTAAAAAAAAATGTGTGTCGTTCCTGCAGTTCTTGTCCAAAAGCACATTGTTATCTTCGTGAAACAACGATCCAAGATTAAATGATTGCTTGATGTTTATCGTACAATAAAAACTTTCAATCGTATGTAAAAACAGCAATGATGTGTCCAGCAGGACTATAGTTGTAGGTAGAAGAAGAACAAGCTGGAGAATGATATTTTAGATGTTCGATACCTAGGTACTCTGCTGTTTCTTTTTTTTTATTTTTAGTTAATATCTTGTAGTCAAAAGATGATGAATATTTGTTATATTTAAAAAAAACAACAACAACAAAAAATACATGCGATTTGTTATATCTATCATTGCAGATCCAAGCCTGCGCTTTTCCTAGAATTGTGAATTTCTTGGCATCTGGTATTGAGGTACCGTGAGGACGGACTTTAATGATATATACTGAAAAGGAATTATTGCTTTGCAATTACGCTCCTTGATATTAAGCAAATAAACTAAATGCATGTGTCATGATGAGCATCAGTGCTTCTTCCAAAATGGTGAATTTCATGGCTTCTGGGTCAGGGGTTAAGGTGGGACTTTATTGATAACATAGGAAAAATGCATTAATGCTTCAACAATCTTCTCTTTTGTCCCTGAGTATTAAGAAAACAATATAAATGCGATGATATAAATGTTAATGTTTAAATATGTATTGAGTAAATGCGCTTTTTCTCTTGTCCGAGGTATCGAGAGGTGATTAGAGAACAAAAGAGAGTTACTCCCCTCTGCTAAATTGTTATTTATCAAGAAAACCTCGTAAATAACTCAATCAACAGTTTATTTGATTGAATGGGAATACAAGAAAAAATGTTATATATAGAAACAAATAAAAATGAATGGGTGGTTTAAATAAGTAAAGCATGCCTAAAGTCATAGTGTGTGTATACTGTGATGTGATTGTGATTGTAAGTTAATGCCATGGGGATCTTAGAGTAGTTAGCAAGAGATGGAATGAATTTGTTATATATCTTGATTATATTATAAGCCATGTTTTAACCAAGTGGCAATTGTTGACACCAAGTGTTACCAAGTAGCAATTAAGCAGCAATTTAGATTTTAGTGTTAAGCCAAGAGGCATATAATCTCGAATAAAATATACAGGCATTAGATTTTTTCTGTACTTATTTGTCGATTTTAGCAAGTGGCATTAACACTCTAAGAAAGTACATTATATCTATATTTTTTCGTCGTTGTAAGACTTGGTCAAACCAAATACGATCCTTAGGAGATATATCGAGTCTTGTATGTTACAATAAGCAGGGGTATTTTCCCGATTTCTGAAATTCGTGGGCAACAAAGCTTATCATCTGTTAGTTATTTTGTTTGATACTTCTATGGATATTTTACAATGTTGTACAATACTCGGGTGACCATTTAGGTCCTTTTGCCTGTTTTTTTTTTTTTTCTTTAAAGAATTTTTCTACAATCAAACAACAATACCTTTTACGTCGACAAGGAAAACAACAAAACCGACATCTCCTGCATTACGTAAGTCATTAAAGAAAACATTTCGTCTTGCCTGCACAACAACCATTTCTCACGATAATTGTAAGTCCAGGCTAATCACTGACAGCCCCTACTTTCACTAGAAAGGGAAATCGTAGATTTATTAACATTTTCCTTGGTTATTTGCAATTTTTTTTTTGCTAAAAACATTCTGATTATGCACACAAATACTCCGAAGCTGATATTTAGAAGAGCATGAATTTTGGACTAACTATACATATATCTGTGTAGGTTTTGGAGATCTATATTTAAACAATTTGTCGGAATTCCCATGAGTGTCAATTGTCAATTATTAGCAGACTTACTTTTGTAAGTATATGAAGCGGAATACATCCAAACCATTTTACATGAAAAGAAGTCTCTTGCATTGATCTTCAATATTTAGATTTACA